TTGCACAGCAGTTTTGTGTGACTGCGCAGTATTCATTCACTTTGTGAATTAAATATGCGGGGTTAAAAAGCTGCAGCTCATCAGTTAGCAACACACCCTCCAGAGACAGCGCTGAGCTAAGATGTGATTTTGGCACCGTGGCCAAAATCTGAACTATGGGTCATCTGAAAACCCTTGAGTCAAGAAAGTCGTTTGATCCCAATCATCACACAAATTCACATTTTCTCTTTGAATTGTCTGTTTGCTTAACTCTTCCCTTGAACTGAAACTCTATGGGTTAGCAACTGTAACCTAGCAGGCCAGTGGACATTTTGATTTCTCCACCTTGAAGCAGTGTGGATTGGCCCGCAGTAAAATAATCGCTGCATACACAGAGTTTGGAAGGTGGTGTTTTTTTAGGCCTAGCAGTTATGTCATGCATCGCATGCACAGATGCTATAGTCCTCATCACAGAGACTGTGGGTTCAAATACGGCCTTGGCACTTTGCTTCATGTCAACCCACGCTTTCTCATCCCAGCATTCACTGTCTCTCTTCAACTTAAAGGCAAACAAAAAAGTAACTTTAAAAAATCCTCATGGAGAAGAAGTTCACTTTTCCTACTTTTGGCAAAAAATCATTGAAGCATTCAAGCACATATGGTATTTAAAATTGTTGTCAAGAAGTTTATCAGATAAAAGAAATGTGTCTTGGTGTAATAAACATATTAAGAAAAATGTATAGAATTATGAAAGGAAGTACTACAAGTCAAAAGACAAAATGACAAACAAGACTTTAAAATATAAGAGAATATTCAAACAACCATTAAAAAACTAAAAGAGCCAATGTTACACCTTGTAAACAACAACAAAAGCTATCTTGAAAACCAAGCCACAGCTGACAAAGTCATCCACCAAGATTGATTTCAAATAGTAAAATGAATGGCTGATGTTCAGAAATGTGTAGTTGCTTTGATCTGCCTCTGCCTGAAATACAGGACTTGTCAAATGTTATCCTCCTGTTCAACAAGTTTAAATAAGCCTCAGCGCTCCCCAAAACATGTCTGTTTGGGGATCCTGATCCTGTATGTTATCATGCCTATACACCCCTCTATTTCAGCCCTGTTTAGAACAGGCTGTTGGCTTGGGTGGCTTTGGCTTTCTTGCACTATGCCCGATTGTTAATGTTGGAAACGCTCACTCAAAGGGCAGAACAAACTAGCTGTGGGAATGTCACCCACTGCCCTTTGTGATGTTACAAGTAGTACTCAGGAAATGCCCTGGCGCCTCTCCAGCTACCAGACCAACTTCCATATTATGGTCCGTATCAGTACTTGAACCAGTGGCCCTCAGGTTCCAAACCCAAGTCCCTACGGACTGATCTGCTGCCGCCTCGGAAGAAATACAGGCAGTTTCGAGGGGTGAATCTGCTGCTGTTACATTTGCTAACTGCATATAAAAGGTTCACATGTAGGGACAAAAACTAAGGGTAGAGGTCTAGCCAGTGGTCAGATATAGAACAGTGAATCATTGGGTTCACTTTCTGTTCATTTGCCATCATCCAGTGATTAAGAAACCGGATTGTATTGAAGTTGGTAGGAAGCAGTGGTTACGTCTCTTTAAACGAAAAGTGTCATGATTTGGTATTATTTAGTTTTGTATTTTCAGTGTTTCTCTGTGTTCTAGTGGGTTTTGTTCATTCTTGAGTTCTGTGTGTCTTCAGTGTTTCATGTATTTTATTTTGTAGTTGTCCTCAGTGTTTCTTGTGTCCATACCTTCCTCTGTGTGTTTCCCTCCATTGTGATTGCCCTGCTTGTCTTCACCTGTGTTATTAGTCTCACCTGTGTTTGATTACCCCCATGTCTATTTAGTCTCTGTGTTTCTTCCCTTCTGTGTCAGTTCATTGTATGTGTTTGTCGGTGTCATTTGTTGCACGTCAGTTTACCCGTGGCTCCTTCTCTTGTTGGATTTTTTGGAAGCAAGTTTTTGTTTGAAGAATAGATAGTTTTAGTGAATCCTGCATCTGGGTCCTCCTCTTCGTTTTCGCGATCCGTGACAAAAAGCTTTCAATGGAATGAATGGGCTGACAATTTTCTAGCTCGATATTTTACCTCAGCAAAGTAACTCACATATTTTTGTCAATTCACTGCTCACATAGAAGAAAGCATTTCTTTAGAAAAAAGTATTTAATGTTTGCAGAGCTAATGGAAAAGGAATGCTCAAAATTCACTGAAGAAAACCCTCCCTCTAAAGTTAAATATCATAGTTGGGATCTCATTTCATAAGATCACTATGATTTTCATCAGGAACAAACCTATTCACAAATCTTTGGCTATTAGTCACTGCTAACACTGAAATGGAAAACTCCAAAGCACCATTATATGTAAATACATGTGTCATGAATCAGCAGTCCAATCTTTTCAAAGTGGTCATAGTGGCTTCAGCACCATTAACAAAATAAAACACCAGATGAATTCATCTTGCTCCATGTCAGACTGTTCTTATCCTCGGCATCATCCATTCAGAATTCTTCAAAACTCACCTTTCATCTGGTTTTATTTCCTACAAGGGGCATAACTCATCTCTTTTAGATTAGCCTCTAGTTGAAGAAATAGAGCCATAAATTCATTTTATGTTGTATTGGTGTGTGTGCGCTCCCTTTTTCATTGCAGGAATAATTCTTCCCCCTCTATATGTTTTATTGTAGAGCACAGATGTGCAGCTTTTGGCCCTCTACAGATCTGTGTACTGCTCTTAGTCTAATAGATGAAGTACAGAAGCAGGGTGGGCTCTCTTAAAGTGGATATATGTGATAGAAACAATGAACATTTTTATTTGATTAATTGTACCAGAGATGACATTGACATTACTTGACTGGTCACAGGAAAAATATTCACACAACTATAAAAGAACAGAGAGACACAAACTTACACTTAAGATATTCTCACATATCTATGAGACATATGTAAGTGAACGTAAAAAAAAAAAAGTGATACAATGAAGTTGGTGATACATTGTTTATAATATTTTTAGAAGGAAAGATGATGCAAAAGAGGATTCATTTGTGTTACCTAACCTGACGTCTCAATCTTAGGCCAGAATAGTTCAACATACACACAATATGTTAGTATTGTATGTTTTTAGTTCAATATATTCATTCCATGTTATACAAGTGCAATAGTACTGTTTGTAACTGCTACCTCACCTTAAGCATATGTTTGTACTGTGATTGTCTGTTCTTATATGTGTGCATGTTCTCTTACTTGTGAACGTGTGTGTGTTTTAAACTTAATTTTTTAGCTTAAGATTTTATTTTATTCAATGTTTTTTCTAGTTCTGTTTATACCAGGCTCAGGATGTGCAGCAGCATTTCATTGTTTTTACTGACAATAACATGATTCACATTTAACCGCCTTGCTCCAAACATGTGATCTTTAGACATTCAAGTCTCCAATGTTTATTTGCTAAACAACACGATGCATCTCAATTAGTCCATACTTCAGGATCTACTCCAGTCATCTGTGAGACCGGCTGAATTTCCCGCTGCTCCATTTGGCATTCGACTGAGTTAAAGAGCTAGCATTAGCACTTAGCAGGGAGTGACTGATTAGCCCAAAGAAAATCTCAGAAGATAAAAATCTTGATTTTTAAAACAATTTTTTTTCCCCACCTCTAATGCCCAGTGGCAGATCTCATATGAGGAAGAATGAAACGATGCATAACTATCTCAGTTGGATTACAAGAACACCAGTTTCAAATCTCTCTAAAAGTAAAGTTTCTGTTTACAGTAAGTTGAATTTTCTTGAATCAATACACATACGATTTGGATCCAATATAACCCATGATATTTAAACTCAGATACTATAATTGTCTTAATTTCAAACATGTTAATACAACAAAGTAGATAAATTATTAAGCATGAAATGCAATAAAAATATGTTTTTGAAACAAAACATCGACTGCCAGATTGGACAAAAAGTTCAGAAAAAATGTCACGATCAAGCTAAGGTAATATTGATCAAACCCCCCTCCCCACAGGGATCCTCTCCATTGGAGTTCTGACATTTTTTCAGTGCCAGCTTTGGTGTTTGTTTTCTGTTTGTTTTAATTTGAAATCAGAGAAATCAAATCAAATACATCTATTTGATATGGACATTGAAACAGAGAGGCACATGTGCGCAACACAATTCAGATGTTTTTTTTTTTCTTCTGAGCCTTACAACATGTGTCACACTGTTCATTTTTGAAGCCAGGAGCCCTTCATGTCCACCACCACTCCACTAAATCCTCAGACCCATAATCTCCCATAAACACTCCCCGACTGTGGAGCCTCCTTGGCACTGGCGGCATGTGTCTGCCAACCCTGTATACCCATTAGCACCACTAAGCCTCTGTTTGCCCCCCCCCCCCCCCCAAACCCTCCATCCTCTCAACAAAGGTGAGTCTGTCTGATTATTACCTGACGTTGCACTATGGGTGGTTTTAATCCTCAGCTCTGGCAAGAACTGTGTGAAAACAGAAAAAGCACTTATTCATTTCTTTCCAGAAGAATGTCTTAAGTTGCCTCTCATTACCAGCAAACGTTTGCATACTGCAGAAAATGAATTTCAATGACTCTTTTCCCTGTAGCTTCATCACTCCCTCCTCCCCTTCATAACCTCACTTCACTTTTCCTGCTCATCTTCATCCTCCTGCTTTTCTGCACGTCTCCCTCTCTAGTCTCTCTTTTTTTTTTCTCTCTCTCTCTGTATCACACTCTACTCCCTCTCTACTCCCCTCTCTTTCCCCTGCAGCCTGCTAACCAGATCATTCCAATCCTTCCATAAATAGGAAAACTACAGTAAACAAAAATGAGAGGAAGACGCTGCCGGTGCAATCAGACAGCATTTCTCTCTATTTCTTTTTAAGTCCCCTCGCTGCCTGCGCTCTGTGCCGCTCATTCCTCCCAGTGCACTGCAGCTCCTCCTTCCACCTCCTCTCATCAGCTGCCCCTCCCTCTTCCTCTCTCTGTCTCTTCTAGGTGCAGCATGTATGTGAGCGTGTGCGAGCCAGCAGAGCCGCCTGTGTGTTTACATGTCAGCCTATCAGGGCTGCCGGATTTAGCGCATCTGGAGAGGACGGAGGCATTTCTCAAATGCCCCTCAGACGAGGGATTCTCATCGCTGCAAACGTCCCTCTTTCCCATCTGAATCTAGCCTAGTCTCGAGTCCTACATCTCTGTCTCCATGCTTTCGGAGGCATTTTGAATTTCCTTGGCAACATGGAGCTGCCTGAATTAGAATTCTCTGCATGACAGTCCTGGTAAGTACTCTGTCTCTATGGTGGGCTTTGAGCGCTGAGGCATTGGATCTGATTTATTATGGTGCAGTGGTGGGGCCATGGGATCACCAGGGAGCAAATTAAAGTCAGGAATAAAATTGTGTATCATAGGAAAAAGGGAAGGGATGGAAAGAAGGGGGGTCATTCTCAGAGGAGGGCTTCAGATCTTATTTGTGCTTTGTCATCCAGATGGGTTTCATTTTTGCTGTGTGCCATGCAATCTGGCTTTGTACTGTGTGTGGAAGACACAAATAATGTGTGCATGTGTTTTCTGATTGTACAATATGTAGAATTTATTTTCTCAGGGTGAATGTATCAGTGCAGAGACAAACTGTGAACATGATATCAAATGAATGTAATTGAAAGCATGCAAACACCCGTATGTCCGGTCTTTTAATATCCCATCTAAAAAGGTGTGAAGCTGAGCAGGAGAGTGTCTGTTTTGTGTTTTCTCTCTTGACTGTTTTGCCAGCCTGGTTGTTGCTGCTTCCTAATCTGCTCTCATTAACATTCATGTTCCCCTTCAAATGCCAGCAAACTCATCTAGACTCACACTTATTCATTCTCAGCAGCTTTTTGCTGTTGGCTATTTCCAGTGTCGATGAGGGATTCTATGCAGGTGTTTGATTGGCCACAGGTTACATAGATGGGTGGATGGTGGTGCTGATGGGGAGGGTGGGTGTGTTCGGGGAAGGGGGGGAAAGATGATGGTCGACTTAGTGTGATTATTTATGCAGGCCCAATAAGCAATCTCTAGTTTAATTGCTATTGCTTGTTATATTTGCATCTCCATAATTATGGCTGCAACGCTTCAGCAGGCAGACAGCGATGAGGGGACTCTTCCTCTCTGGTTTTTTAATAGTGCTGTAACAACCTCTGCAAGCCTCAGACCTCCGACAGTCTCAGAGTGAAGAGTCTGCTCTTCATGTCAAGGTTTATGATCTCTCAAAGCTCTTAATTGGGACCCTGTAATCAGGTTATGACAGCTGATTGGAGTCTCTCTTTTTTTTTGTTTCGTACTTATTTATGCGTGACACTCTAGGTGCACGTCTGCAGCGCCAAAGCACTGAACACATTTTTCAAGGGACTGAAATGAGCAGCGAGTGTTTATGACTGGAATTTCTGATGATATCTGGGGAACAAATGAGTGTTTATCATTAGCATAGTCACTGGGCAAACTTAATTTCAACAACACACGTATTTCCAGTATCAGTTTGTTGCGTTTGCAGGTCTTCAAGGATCCAAGTATGTTTGTGTCGAAGCATTACAAGGGCAAGTTGTAGATTATACAACTTTTGCACAATTTATGCTCACATAACACATATTTATAGAGAGTCTACATTAATATTCATTGAATTCATATACACTGTATTATCACACATTGCCCTGAATCCCAATTCAAATAGGATTGATTTGATTATATAAGACGCAAATTGATGTTATATGAAAAGATTTTTGCATTAGCTGTAACAAACGTAACCTGCATCCATTGATTTCTTTATGATTTGATCCCCCCAACTGGTGCAAGCACAGCAAGCTGCAGTCACAGCAGCTACTGGGGATCGAAATTAACATATAAAACTACACTGACTATTTTCACCATGAGGTAATGTGGTACCTATTTTCACATTCAGAAAACACATTCACTATGCATTCAATAGGGCTCTTATTCCGCTTAATAATTATACATCTATTTAATTGAGTCTTTACGGCGTTTTGTGTTTTGGTACACTTGCGTGGATGTCTGTCTCCGCAGCTGTCTAGAATAGAGTATTGGATGGAAGCATTTACCAGACTTTGTTTTTTTTTTTTGACTGAAGATAGCATTCTGCTTTTGTAAAGTTGTGAGTCTGGTAGTAAACACGTAACCTGTCAAACCAAAACATAAAGCCAAAAGATGCTAAAAGAAGAAGAATCAGAATGGTCTACCAGCTTTGTGGTCCCCCATATAAGAGCATAATTTGGCATCAGTTTACATAGTACTCACTCTCTTTGTGTTCTAAGGAATTGACAAATTTGATGACTGATAACCATCATAGCTACTTTGAGTCATTTACTGAGGAGCACGGTGTTATTGGGCAGCTGTATTTAATGTACACTATGACATTTATTTAGTGTTTTGAGCACAAATAGTCAATCCCTGACCTCTGCATGAACATGAAAGATTTCACTCTAATGGATATTTTGCCAAACCTAAGTGTCCTCACTTTAAAGGCTCCCACTGAAGACTAAGACAGACACCGATCAGCCACAAAATTATGACCACTGACAGGTGAACATCGATTATCTTGTAACAGGGACACCTGTCAGTGGCTATATGTTAGGCAGCAAGTGAACATTTTGTCCTCAAAGTTGATGTTTTGGAAACAGGAAAAATGGGCAATGATGAAGGTGTGAGTGACTTTGACAAGGGCCTAATTGTGAGGGCTGGACAACGAGGTAAGAGCTTCTCAAAAACTGCAGATGTTGTGGGGGCGTCCCCAATCTGCATTGGTCAGCACCAACCAAAAGATGTCCAAGGAGGAAAAACTGGTGAACCAGTTACAGGGTCATAGGCAGCCAAGGCTCATTAGGTGAGGACAAATGGACATTGCAGTTTGTTGTGTATGTGGCTACATAGCTGCAGACCAGTCAGTTTGCCAATGCTGACCCCTGTCCACCACCAAAGGCACCTACAATGGATACGTGAGTGTCAATAAAAGAAGGTGACCTGGAGAAACACAACAAGGTTTGACTTGGCCTCGTAATTCCCCAGATCTCAATTGAATTGAGCATCTGTGGGATGTGCTGGACAGACAAGTCTGATCAGTGGAGGCCCCAACTCACAACGTACAGGACTTAAAGGATCTTCTGCTAATGTCTTTGAGCCAGATACCATCTTCAGAGAACCATGGAGTCCATGTCTCGTCAGGTCAGGGCTGATGAGGGGCATCAACACCATTGGGCAGGTGGTCATGATGTGATGGCATCATGTTAAGGCACACAAACCCCCACACAGTTTTTAAATATTAAAACAAAGACAGCTTGCAGATTGAAATCTGTAAGATTTAGAGAGGCTTTTCCCTGCTCTGGGAAAGTTTGAGTAATTATAAGCAGATTTGAGAATGTACTCATTTTATCAAATAGTCAGAAAACAAAGAAGTAAGGGATTTGCTGTCCAAGTAAGCTGATATAGCATCACAATTCTTCTCAAATGTAAATACTGACTCAATTTGTATAATCCTTTTACCAATATGAGTTCACTATTAAAAGATTAAGGCAATGCACACAAGGGGCCTAAACTTCACTTGATTCCATTCCAAACAAAACATAACAGCTGGACACACTGATAGCTGCTCTGCTGCTGTTTCTTTTTCACACTGCTTTGTTCCAAGCTGTCATAAGCTTTATATTCGGTGATGCATAATAAAGGTATAATGATTAGAAAGCCACTGTATTTGTTCCGGAGTTTACCGCATGTGCTCTTTGTGAGTACCAGAATATATAATTTCCCTTCGTGAAAAGCCTCTGTAGGGTTTTTTAAATGTTTTATTTTTCTCATGTTTGATTCTAGAATCTAATTATAGCCCATTTTACTTACAGCTGAAATCAGAACACTCTTGCACATTACAGTTCATTTGTGATGCCCCAGAAAGGAGTGACGTCTAAAATGGCCAGGCACACAGCAAGGGCGTTACTCTTAAGGCCATTTGCTGTAACCAGATCCGTGTGGAATCAAGCCACTGCCACATAATGGGTAACATCAGCCACCTTGAAGAGGAAATGGTGAACAGTGATTGTGGTGACGAGTGCCAGAGCTTGTGTTTAGACAGTTGTCTGCTGGATGCCGAGGTGACAGACGCAGGCAGATCTGTCACAGGATACTCAAATTTGCGTTCTACAAATGTATTCAGAAGGTCACCATCCTGCTGCTTGGCTGCAGCCTTCCTCATTTAAATTTAATAATAACAGCTTTATGCAAAATATGGAACAGGCGGGGGCTACTAGGGTGGAAGGCAGAGGTTGTCTCATGCTCATGCTTCTGGCTGCATTCAGGCTCTTACATAGCAGAGGCTGCAACAAATTACATTAGAGGTGATCAAGTGGAAATCCTGAAGACGGTCAGTTTCTGATTCATCCAACGCTTTATCGATATCATTTTCTATTTTTTTTAAGCTTGAATTTATTATGACAAGTGATCTAAGTGAAACACAAGGATCTTTTAAAGAGAGCGATTAGCAAGTTAACAGATGCAAAACAACACAAAGTTAAAGAATGTCTGACACCAGTTGTCTGGCTTGTTACTTTCTGCATTTTCTATTTCTCTATTTCTGCATTCTCAAAACTGCAAGAACTGTGTTAGTTAGCGGTCAAGCTGCCTGCACTATACTCCGCTCTCAACACAAACGGCTTAAGCAGTCCTTCAAAGAAAGAGATGTAAAGAACACAATTTGAATACACGTCTCAAATGAATGGTCCAAGTTTCCTGGCATCTGTGGGGGGAAAAAAAACAGCACAGCATTTCATATTTGTACAGAAGCCAGTAATTATTGCCTGAGTGAGTTGGTGTGAAAATCTCTCACAATCTCCCTTTGTGCTTTCTATGAAGCACTGTAAGAGGCTTGTGTGAGGTAAAATTGCCTTTAGCACGGCATTTAGCCTTTTTTTTTTTTCCTTTTCAATTCCAGCCTCAACAACATCGTACATCCCCCGATGGTGAGTAGGGGATAAAGGTTTGAGTAATTTCCAGCTTATCCTACTTGACTTTCAGAAGTATTGGGTGCTAATGAAGACAAAAGCCTCTTCTGTATTATTAGACTATGTTGTTGAAACAAGACACAGATCTGCATGTCAATCATGTAGAATAAGTTAAATGCAGAGCATGGTTTATTCCAAGCTATGACTTTTCCATATGCTTTGAGGTGAAGTAAGATTTGACAGATTTTAAAGTTCAACACGATACTAGTAAAAATCAAACAGCAATAAGAATAGAAGTCATAGGC